AAGGAGGAGGAAGAAGAGGAAGAGGAGGAAGAGGCGGAGGAGGAAAGGCTAAATTAAGTTATTTTTAAGCTTTGTTTGTCATTAAACTACAAAATCTAAACCTTATGCTAGTACTATGTTCTTTATTGAACCGAATAGTCTTCAATTTTCACCATCTGAATTCTCCTGAATATCTCATTCATTATCTCATTCTTACTTTGGACAACCTGGCAGGCTACCGAATGTAACCTGCCCACACGGCAGAGTCTGGCAAACTCCCCATGGCGTACCCAATATGTCAAATACCAGTAACAATGATGAGTCTCATTCTCCTAACCCTGAAAGAGCCTTATCTCAGGGCTAGGACGAAGGAGATGGAGACGTTACTGGGGCCTGCTCAAGGCAATCGACGAACAACAGGATGGTCGTGATCATCATGGTCGTGTGAATTCTCCTGAACTCACTGCACTCTAGTTCTTTCAATCCAGTTTTATGATAATTTAAAATTCTGCTAAGGACCATTTTAGTGACTGGTTACTAGATATTAGCACATCCCAGGCATTGTCCAGTATGATGAAGAAATATTTTACCAGCATCATTACAAGTTTCAAAAAACTGCAAGGGAGGGGCTGGAGCAAGAGCACGGCAGGTAGAGCCCTGGCCTGGCACACAGCCAACTCATATCCAATCCCCAACACCACCTATGATCCCTTGAGTGCACCAGAAGTGATCCCTATGACAGCCAATAGTAAGTCCTGAAAGCTACAAGTGTTAAACATGCACTTCTTCCAGCCTATGGTTCACCCTCTCAATGCTCCACATTTTGTACTTCCTGTTTGTTGATAATTATAGTGATTTGACTCCTTTAAACCTAAATTCTTTATTTGCCCATTAACTCCCTACACATGCATATGCACATGCACGCACACACACATAACACACATGTGCACGCATGTGCATGCATATACATGAAGGCATGTGTATATGCACATGTACACAAATATATAAGCTTTATTCTTTTCAATCTGTTATTCAGCTATAGAACTCTCAGATGTTTCATTATCATTCTACAACCAACTCAAGATTTGGTACTTAAATGTCTAGTGTGTTTTTCTAGATATGCTGGATAAATATCTGACATGAATTTATTTTAAAATACGTAAAATTTAGGGGCAAAAAGATGTACCACAGGCAGGGTGCTTTCTTTGCACGTAGTCAATCTAGGTTCAATCCCTGGCACCTCATATGGTCTCCTGAACCCTGCTGAGATGACCTCTGAGTACAGAGTTAGAAGCAATCTCTGAACATCACCAGTGTAACTAACCGAAACAAAAACAACAAGCAAACTGATTTTTTAAAAAAAAACCTTTAAAATTAATTTTAGCATGCTGGATAGATGTTATTCAAGACCAGAATTCTCTTAGTTCCATTAGCAAGTTATGAAAGCAGAACCTCTACTGTGCTTTTTTTACTTGGTTTTGGTTTTGGTTTTGGACAATACTCAGCAATTCTCTGGAGATACCCCTGGCTCGATAATCAGGAATCACTACTGGCAGGGCCTGGGGGACAAAATGGATGCCAGGTATCAAATGCAAGCTGGCCAAAGGCAAGGCAAGCACCCTATTCACTGTACTCTTGCTCCCACCCCCTTTTTACCCACTATGACTTTTAAGCATGGTCAAAATATACCATCTCATTTCTATAATAAATTGTAATGCTTACAATAAATTGTAATACTTACATGCTTTCGCTTATATTTTTTCTAATATACTTAATTACATGAACATCCTCATTCCCCCCAACGAATTACCAATATCTAACAAATATCCTTTAATACATTGTTTAATACACAAAGGAGCATCTTTAAACAGCACTACCTCTTTTATGGGCTAAACAAATTTAATTTCCAGTAAATTTTTTGGCCTCTTTAATGGATTATCTTGCAAAAGAGTCCAAAAACAACCATAGATGGAAATAGCTTCATTCCACTATAATGCTTGCTGAATGGCAGAGAAACTTGTACTTGTATCATTTAATTTTTAGGAACTATTTGCTGTGAGGGCTGATTCTAATTTATTTTTATTAAAAACATCAGATTTACAAAGTGCTCATTATACACCATTTCAGGCATTTAGCATTCCAACACCACCAGTGTGAACTTCCCTCCACCTACTTCCTTAGGCATATAACAAATTTATTTTCTATTAGTTGTTCCAACAAAACTTTAAGAGATGGCAAATAAAATGATCAGAAAATAAATCAGGGGCTGGAGTGATAGCACAGTGGGTACGGCATTTGCCTTGCACATGGCCGACCCGGGTTTGATTCCCAGCATCCCATATGTCCCCTAGCACCACCAGGAGTAATTCCTGAGTGCAGAGCCAGGAGTAACCCCTCTGCATCACCAGGTGTAACCCAAAAAGCAAAAAAAAAAGAAAAGAGAAGAAATCAGTAAGAGCCAATTTGTGATTGCTATATAACTTTAACCTATGTAAATAAGAAAAATATAATGCTTTGATACAACATAATAAAAGGCTTATTCTATTTACATAAGTAAGTCTAAACTCTGGAATCTAAAGTATACTTCATTAAATTTTATTTTATATTTGAATCATATTATGGTAATCGTCGATTTACTCGAGCAGGCCCAGTAACGTCTCCATTGGAGACTTTGTTGTTACTGTGTTTGGCATATCGAATACTCTCGGTAGCTTGCCGGGATCTCCGAGAGGGGGGAGGAATCGAACTTGGGTTGGCCATGTTGGCCGCTTGTAAGGCGAATGCCCTACGGCTGTGCTATCGCTTAATCATGCCTTACCTGTCTTTAATAATAAAACTTTTTTTTTTTTTGCTTTTTGGATCACAATTTTTGAATCAGTGCGGGCAGTGTCTGTGACCCTTTCCTTCTTAGGTGATAAACATTAGGGGCTCCAACTTGTAACACAGTTTTAGCCATCCATGAGATATGATGTGCATTGAAGGACAAGTTGCAAGTTGGTGTTTTCCTGCAATAATCACACAAATATAGCTGTTTGTAGCAGAAGTTCTGAAAGCATAGAGATAGCTCTATAATATAAAAGTTCTGATTGTCCCTTCACATCTGCCTTCCAGGTTTTAATCACTTGAATAATTAGGATATAAAATTGCAATGTAATTTAGATACTCGTTAAGTATAGAATTAATCCATTGAGCTGATATCCCACATTTTAGCTAAGCTCCGGGTGGCCTGAAGACTTCCAACCACATCAAGGCCACCATGCAGAAGCCTCCTTAGATGCTCTGCTCTGCATCCCCCGTCATCCCATGCACGTGCCAGCTATGTGTGGGATGAAGTCTTAGATCAGGGGTTGCCCAATTTTTTCAATAAAGGACTGGTTCCTATGATCTTTACTGCTACTACTAGCTCTTTAAGAGCACAAAAGAAGGCACAGGTAATAGACTAGCGAGCAATTATGCTCTACAACCCTTATTTGCATAAAACAGATCCACAGACTGTAGCAGGCTTGCATGGAGTATTTACAACTGGTTGGCTGAGGCTGGAGAGAAATCTCCAGAACTGAGAGCTGAGAGCAGGCAGGCTTTGCCTGTGAGAAGCCCAGTCTCCCTCCAGGGACCACATGGTCATAGGCGCACCACCAGTAGCCACCCCTGAGCACAGAACCTGGAGAAGCACCATGGAATTTGCTAAAAAACAAAACAAAACAAAACAAAAACCTGCTTGGCTGGCACTCAGAGTTGACTACTCAGCAGCAGAGTAAGTCTGCTCCCCTGATTTGGGTCAGCCTGTGGAACCAGAGACTCAAGGAGCTGGCACGTCGCAGGTTTTGCGTCTGTTGTCAGTGTTCAGTAATGATCTGTCTAAACATGGCCAGGAGCTGCTTGACGCAAGGTTAGCATAGGTGGGAAGAGCGGAGGCCCAAGTAAAAGGAACCAGGTTATGCAGGACCTTGGAAGTCCACCTAGCTGCTTCTGCAGAGAGCAAGCATTCATTCAAGCCTTTTTGAGCAGAGTAAGTCTTGGCCATGTTCTCCGAGGCTCACATAAAGACACGTGCCCTCTAAGGTTTCTTTTAGGAGTGCACGTTGGGAAATGAATGCAAGCCACTGTCCTTGCGCTTCTTGTACGACTTTCTCCTTGGCTGCTTCCCTCAGCCCGTCCACAGGCTGTCGCTGCGAGGCCGCCTCTGCTTTGCTTTTCCTCTACCGGCATCCCCTTCTCTCCAGGCCTCCTCCTGCGTACCCCGCAGAAAGTTCTCCACGAACCTTTGCTCCAGGACGCCGGGCAGGGGCGCACGTCACCCGCGGCGGAATTGGGAGGCGCCCCGCCACCGTGTCCTTTGAGCTCGGTCAGCGGTACTGCCACCTACGGTCTCGGTGTCGGCTTTCTGAATAGCCCGGGACCCACCCCCGCCCACCGGTCCCACTCGGCCTGGCGGCTGCGTCTGGAACCCACCCGCCTTCCTCTGCCCCTAGCTAGGCTGCGACCTGCCGCGAAGCCGGCGCTGGGTTCTGCCCTCTCTCTGGACACCCGGCCTGTTGCTGCTCTTCAGCGCCCTCCCCCCGCCCCGCGCAGGGACAGACCTCTTCGTGACCCGGGTCGTCCCCGTTTCAGCCCGCGACCCGCCCCTTAGAGGGGTGCTCCGGGGGAGCCGGCTCCTCCAGGCCTCCAGCCCGCCCCCTCCCCATTCTGACTAGCTGAGGGCCCCCAGACCCTGACCTGCCCCTTCCAACCGAGCGCCTCTGCCCCCGCTATGTTCCGCCTCTCCCCGCCTTTGACCCGCCCTCTCCACAATACGATTGGCTCTTTGAGATAAGCCACGCCCCTCCTAGCCGCATTTTCCAGCGGCGGCGCCTCCGCCCTCCGCTTGGCCCCGCCTCCCACGGGCTCCTGTCCGCCTCCTCCTCACTCCGATTGGCTCAGCTCTTTGGGACCCCCGCCCCTGGCACGCCCCTACCACCAGCCCTGCCGCCTCGGTCCCGGGACTGCCCGTCCCCTCCCGCGGCGCTGGGGCTCCCGCCGCAGCAGACCCAGAGTTGCCTCGCTGGCGCTCTGGACCCGCGATCTGGCAATTTTGGGGCGACAGTCTGTCTGTCGATCGGAAAGAAGTTACAGACTCGCAACTCCGCCATGGGGCGAACTCCGCTGGCGCTGGCGCTGTGGGTCCTGTTCCCCGCGATTTGGAGTGGAGGTGAGGGCACCGCGCCGGGGTCCGGGTCTGGGCCCGGGGCGGGGGGCAGGGGGTTCGCGGCCCCAAGCGCGTCTATTGGGGCGCGCACGCCCCTTCCTCACTGCCCGCGCGCCGCCGGGGGAGCGCAGGGGGCAGCCGGCGACACATGCACCGGGCGCCAGGTTTCGTGGTGGGTGCCTGTTCCCTCTCCTGGGAGACCGAGTGGGAGGAGGGGGCACCCTTTACCGTGCACGCAGGGGGAGAGAGAGAGTTCGCTGGCAGCGCCGCTAGACCCAGAGTTTTCTGTCGAGAGAGACGAGCGGGACGTTGGTCGCAGGCAACGCGCCGGAATCTTTCCCCTGCAACTTGGGTTTCGTGGCTCTGGCGTGAGTTCTGAGACACGCTCCCCCAAACCCTCGCCCCGCAGCCCGCACACCTCCAGCCTCGGAGAGAGGCAATGCGGGAGCCGAGCGGGCGGTGAGACTTGGGGTCGCAGTCCGGGGTGCAGAGATCAATCAGGGCTGGAGTCCGCCCCGATTGGGGAGCTGGGGAGGGAGGGAGGTGCGGCTGCTCCTGCTGGGACCTTTATGGGCTGCTGTTAGCGCACCTCTGAAAGAACATCCTGAGAGTGTGGGGGTCTCAGGGGTGAAAGGACGAGCTCAGTTCAGCCCCCTGACTGAGATAGAGGCTAGTGGGCTCGATTGTAGTGTCGATTGTCATGAGGGTCGTGGCAGGCTTTGCAGTGTAAGGCAGTGGACGGCTCTGCACGGGAAGGAATGCAGGCCCATGTGCTCCAGAGCTTGTTTGGAGGGTAAGTGATTAAAGGAGCAGAGGTTTGATCCCTGTTGCAATTCTTGAGGGAGCCATAAGAAATTTCAACAGGCGTTGCTGAAAGGAAAGGAGAAGAAGGTATACAGAATAAACACATTTTAGGCGGTTTTCCTGAAGAAAAGCTATTTCCATTCTGCAGTGTGGTTTTTGACTTCTTTGACTAGGAATATGACTAATTTCCACCTATTATAAAGTTTCGGTTTTTTTTTTTAAGTACCTGCAAAGTTCAACTTGTATTTAAGCAATTTGCTTAAAATTTCTAACTTTGGGCTGTTCCTTTGCGGGGCGCGGAGGGGGGAGTGGTTTAGAGGGAGATTGTTTGGGCTACTCCTAGCTCTGAACACAGGGGTCACTCTAGGTGATGTTGAAGATTCTAATAGCATACATGCAAGATGCAAGGCAAGAGCCATAAGCCTGGCCCTTTATCTTCTGTTCTGAGATTTTCTTTTTGCAATGCCCAGGATCAAACCCTCAAAAACCCTCTATACCACGAGCCACATCCCTTGCTCTGAGGTTTCGCTTTGAAATTAAATTGGTCAAAAAAATTTTTGAGCGGTGCACCATATTTTTGCATAATAAATTACTTAAGGAAGTTATAATTAGGAGTGACATAGGATTTTGAAACAAACATCGAAAGTCAAAACACCAAAGAACTAAAACAATTCTGTTCCCCGGCCCCTCCCCCAAGCAAACCCTCGGCATTCCTCAGCAGTTTGGCCAGATTAGCTCTGATAGTCTGACCCAAATCTGTTATATTTTGCCACTAGTAAGCACTGACCATAAGTAGTCCTGAAAAATAGGCAGTGTATATGGCTAAAATTCTGGAGAAAGCAGTGAAAACAATAATTTTGGGGAAAGAAAAATTTTTAATTGAATTTTTTCCTAAAACCTTTTATTCTAGTCTTTTTTAATAGAGATTATTCTCAGAAACACTTGGGGTGCCAAGGATCCTCTCAGCAGAGTTCAGCCTCAGTCTTTGCTCTCAGGTATCGAGGTGCTCCTGGGACATCTCCAGTGGTGTTGGGGAGGCCTTGCGGTGCCAGGGATTGAACTCGGGGCCTTGTGCATGTGAGTCATGGGCTCTATCACTTGAACTCTCTTTCTATCTGTCTAAACTTTTAGAGCTGTAGTTTTTTAACAGTCTGTAGCTCAGTTTTGATTATTAGATAATCATGAAAGGTTTGTTCATGTGTTCAAACCCAGCCAGCAGTAATGTTTCTTTTAAGGAAGTTTTATATATATATATATATATATATATATATATATATATATACATTTGCCTTTTGCTTTTGGGAGGGGCTGTGTTGGAGACACTGGGATACACCTGGAGCTGCTCATAGTCTAATCCTGGCCTCTGTGTTCGAGGGGGGTCACTCCCAGCAGTGCTCAGCGGGCCCCTTTGGGATTGGGCCCTAACCCACATGCAGCATGTACTCAACTCGTTGTGTGCTCTCTCTCTCTCTCTCTCTCTTTCTCTTTCTCTTTCTGTCTCTGTCTTTGTCTCTGTATCTCTGTCTCTGTCTCTCTGCCTCTCTCTCTATATATATCTCTCTCTGTCTCTGTCTCTGTCTCTGTGTCTCTGTCTCTGTCTGTCTGTCTCTCTCTTTCTGTCTTTCTTTCTCTCTGAGATGTCATACAGTGTTACATCTTGCCCTGTGGAAAATTTTACAGAATAAGGCTTCACACTGGCAGAATTAGAGTAGAAGAAAGGATAGCAATTAGATGAGGTTAAAAATAAAAATGCGATTCTTGATTTAGTTTTTTCTTTAAAAATTTATTATTATTATCATTATCATTATTATTACACATTGATCCTGCAGTGCTCAGGGATTACTCCCGGCTCTGCATGCAGAAACTATTTTGGGTGGCATTCAGGGGGATTATATGGGATGTCAAGGATTGAACATGGCATCCTCATGCAAGGCAGGCGCCCTATCTGCTGCATATCTCTCCATCCCTTTATCTAGTTTTTAAAAAGATTTTCCTATTGCAGGGGCCAAAGAAGTAGTCCAGCAGGTAAAGCACTTGCCTTGCAATCAGCTGACCTGGGTTTGATCCCTGGCACCCCATATGGTCCCCTGAATACCTCTAGCAGTGACCCATGAGTGCAGAAGCAGTATTAATCCCAGAGCACTGCCAAGTGTGGCCCAAAAACCAAAGGAAAGGGGAAGATTTTGCTATTGCATATTGTGGGTCCAAATAATTTGCTTACCAGACAGGAGATTCAGGCTGGGTAGAATGAGTGTGTAAATGCTACACTGTACAGGAGTAAATTGATGATTAAAATTTATGCACCACTTGAACCAGGAATTTCCCTCACACACCATTGCACAAGGACACACAGAGAACTGAAACTGCTGAACCTTGGGCATTTCAAACCTTTCGAGTCCTTCCCTTCTGCTCAGTCGCTGAATGGGGGTGCCAGTGAGCAACAACACCAGGCAAAGGGGAGCTCTCCAGTGGGTCAGAAGTGAGGCAAAGGACTATCAAGTGGATAAAAAGTAAAAAACTTTGTCCATGATAAAGCTGTGCAGCTAAATGCTGCCCTTAGAACAAATGGGGCTTTTGAATTCCTGTGTTCTTGTTTCTGTCCCAGACAGACACGTGCCCTGAATTACAGTCTGTTATAAACATTTTCCCCAGAAGAACTTTGTCCAGTTGCTTGTTTCTCATTTGTCTGTGTGTTTGTTTTGTGCTTGGGGTCCACATCTGGCTGTCAGGATCACTCCTGGCTGTGCTCAGGGACCGACCGTATGAGATGCTGAGGATTAAACTGGGTCAGGTCCCTGCAAGGCAAACGCCTTACCTGTACTAGCTCTGGAGCCCATGTTCAGCTGCCTGTAGCAATGTCCTCAAATGCTTTTTGGAAGTAAGCAAGGCATCGTTTTGAAAATAAATATTTATTATATATTTTTCTTTTGGAGCCAGACCTGGGGGGCTCAGGGCTCTTCTTCCTGGTTCTGTGCCCAGGGATCACTCGTGGTGGTATTCTGGAAACCATATGTAGTGACAGGATCAAACATAGGTTGACTGCACACGAGGCAAAATATGCTACCCACTATATTATCTATTCTGATCCATAAAGTATTGAGCAAGATATGATTGATTTTCAAAGGTGCAGCAATTACGTCTTTCCCTCCAAATCTTAGAAATCATTTCCAGGTAATTCTCAGAGTTGGCTGGACCAATGAGTTGCTGCTCAGAGATGATTATGAGCCAGTCAGATCCATAAAGGCGCATGAACTGGGCACCTGCTGCCAGGTAGAACAACAGAGCCAGTACTTTATTTTGAGGTGTTCTGCCCCTTTCCTCCCTCCTGCCTCCCCCCACCCCGTTGCAAAGACATGGATATGTGCGACTGCTGATCTCCATGTAAGAGATGAGAGAGGGAAGGCGATTGTGAAGGTGAATGTGACTCTGTTTCAAACACTTTAGGGGCCTCACATCCATTATTGGGCTTTCCAAGGGCTCAGGGGCATTTGTTCCCTCTTTTTTTCTTTTCTTTTTTGGGTCACACCAAGCGATGCACAGGCTCTGCACTGAGGAATTACCTGGCTCTGCACTCAGGAATTACCCCTGGTGGTGCTCAGGAGACCATATGGGATGCTGGGAATTGAACCCGGGTCAGCCGCATGCAAGGAAAATGCCCTACCCGCTGTGCTATTGCTCCAGCCCCGTTGTTCCTTCTTGACTCCTCCAGTTCCTCCCCACTTGCTCGCTCGCACTGCTCCAGTAGCCTCAGTCTTTTGTACACTCTGTCACCTCTAGCTGGTCTCCTTGTCTCAAGCCTTCTACTTCCTGCCTCGTATTGGCCTTTCTGGGCTTCAGCTCAGAGTTTCTCCTGGAGAAGCCTCGGTGCCTCACACCCCCAACCCCTCATATACATGCCCTCTATGAAATTTATTTTCCTGATAGTACGTATCATTCAATAGCCCATCCACCTCAGTTCAATCCCTCGCAGGTTGAAGGAACCCTTGAATGCCTCTAGGAATGAGCACAGAGTCAGGAGTAAGTCAGGTGTGACCCCCAGATCCAAAAATAAATAAATAAACAAAATATTAAAAATTCACAAGAGAAGAAAGAAAGGGCAGGATATTAAAGGAAGAATAGATTTTTGGAGTATGCAGACTTCAATATGACAAGCATGGTGTATATTCTTTTAACAATTCCAACTAGGAAAAAAAAACAAA